ACAAAGGATGGCTTATTTTAGAGTGTTATCTGTAACAGGTTGCCATTCTTATGTTAGTGTCACACATTCTTTGATCCAGTCAGACAGTGTTTACATGATACTGGAATCTCTTACTTCTATATTAACTAGAAAAATATATACATTGGATTCCATTTTCAATACCTCGGGGACAAGAATACGCAATATTGAGGGCATAAGGCATAACATGATAGAATAATTCAATAGTTATGGATTGTCTAAACAGTGTCTAAATCCAGTATCATTACTTTGGATTGATTCTATTTTCAGGTGTGTTGTAATGCGACGTGAGGCTGAGTTTGTGTCGAGTATTTCTTCATCCTTTATCTGTGCGGTGAGTTAAGGACAATAAGTAGATGTCGGACTGGAGGAAACGTTGAGGCGGCTAGAGAAACGGCGCTGTGCTAATGAGCTGGCACCAAGGCTACAGCACCATGATGTAAGGCGGAAACACATTCATACATAGTGGATGAAGCCTCCTAATTCCTTCATTTCTAGCCTCTTTGATAGCAAACATTTCTATATTTATTATATTCGTTTATACAGTTGTTGTGTTTGGACGATGACAATGGGACAATTCTGAAGGAAGATGAAAATAAACATGGACATGGTCCGTGTTGTTGTTTCTCTGCTTCTGGCTCTGACGGCGTCCTCTCCCCCCGTGGGAATCAGATGTTTGGGCTGGAGGTTATGGGCCTCACAAAGTAGCTGCAAATGAAGTTTGCCAACCTTCTTTGTCAGAGTTGGGAACTTTCCATTCTTATGCATCAATTGATTAGCAATGTCATAGATGCCGTTGGCGGACTCTTTATTTTCATTTGCATATCAATGTTGCTGACAATAGGCCTGAACAAAAGCAGATTCAAGGTTAAACAAAGCAGAGGTTTTCTTGTTGCTCAAGGTCTCTGTTTTGAAAATCATAGTTTAGAGAAATGGGGGGAAAGCTGGAGAAGAAAAGAGTTGGTAAAACATAACTTTAGTAGTGTTTGCTTGCCCAAAGGAAAATCTGTAACTGCATATTGAAAGTCAGTTAACATGAATATTTTGGTATTGATACATTTGTTTCGAACTGATTCATAGGCTCACTATTGTATCCTTTCCCTGCAGAAAAGGCATTTTTTTAACATAATAACAGTTATGCAATTGCACTGTTTATGTCTCCTTGTAACTCTTCAAGGCTTCTTCCTTGTGAATAAATTATGGACTCTCCCTCTCCTTTTAAAAGATTCAAACAAAGTCTAAAATAAAACCAGAAAGTCTCGCAGTCAGTGCACGTCTGTTGCTTTAACTCGACAGTAGGCGAGCTGTGATTGGATGAGCAGCCAAAGCCTCTTTCCCCTGCTCATCGGGGTGAATGAAGAGAAAGTGGTGTGGGATAGCCGAGGACTGTGTGGCGCCTGTGATCCACAGGATTACAAGAGCGAGACTGAACGCTGCTGAGCATGCTGGTTGTTGTGATGTCATTCAGAGTCTGCCAGCGACACGATGCTCTTAATCATTCATGGCCCTGTCACCACTTGTCTCAGTTCGAGCTGGAGTCATGTGGCACTTTGAGAGCTCTGTTACATAAAGGCTTCGTCACGGGCTGGCACCATGGCTGAGGCAATATACTCAACTCAAACAAACAATATAATACCTCTTTGGGCTTATCTAGTGGCCTACAACAAATATGTTCACCTGTGTGTTTGTGTTGAAGTGATTGCTATCTTTGAGTTGTATAACCTGCTTTTTTGTTTTGCTCCATGAGCCTGTAAAAAGATAGCGGAGATGAAATTCTGCCCCCAGGTGAACTGAGTGTAGTGGAAGCCATACAGGTCAGACTGGAATCCCTAGACTTCCGTTTGACCTTAACACAATGTATGAGCAAACAAGAGAGGGGCGACTGTATGTTTTTCTATTGGTCAAGACACTGAGGAGAAATAACCTTTTCATTTTTTTTTGAGTGAGTTGTATAGTATTCTCTGTATGTTCACGAAATCCAAGAGACAGCCCAAGCAAAACTATTTAGAACTTTATTTCCGTTTCCTACTTTAAAAGTAAAGAAACCAAAGATACAGCAATGTAAAATAGTACACCCAATTCTTTCTATTTGAAGGTCTGAAATGAGAATAAACTTGCAGTATTAATCTATATGACATTAATTCAAAAGGTGGAGTTTGTCATTTGCAATTGACGGAGTCTTGGTATTTCAATATGAAGGAAAAATAACCACAACATTTTATTATTTGTAATCGATAAAAAGCCTCAACATTGGACACAATCTTTCTTCCAAGCTAACAGAACAGATTTATTAGCATTGTACTTAAATATGATAAGTATTTAGCAGTCTATATTGTAGAAATGTTCAGGTATCGTATTTAAAACAGTTAACCTAAATGCCTAATATATTTGGAGAAAGCCTGGATAGGCTCCCAGAACAACAGAAAAAAGAGAAGCATACATTCTCCGCTCTATGGGAAAGAACATTTACCACGGCCCCAGTTTCATACGCAACATTAGTGCTCCCTTTTTAGGCGTTTTAAATGGTCTCTGGAATGTTTGAAACAGGAGAATGCATAACACATAACACTGTCATTCTTCATGGTTTATCTTTTGAAGAGTGCTGAAAGGCTAGAACTGAATATGACAGGGCTGCCTGCAGGCTGTACTCCATCTTTTGTCATGCCCACAATAATGGGGTCTTGATGATCCTGGAGAGGGAGGGGGGGGGGTTGAACTATTCCTCGTGAAACACCAAGGGGCCCCAAAAGACATTAAATGGGCCATTTCCTAGAATGGCTAAAGGTGTGGGGCTGGCACCTTTTGATATTCGAGCACCCACTGACATATGTTATGCTTGGTTTGAATGTATTCGGGTGACAAGGCGCATCAAAGGCATTCCCCTTCAGCTATAGCAGCGTAGTTATTGTCTTATTGCCCTGCATGTGGCCACCAGGAAGGGTTAATCCATCCATCTGAATGAGCTGATCTCTCCATGTAGGGGATCAAATCTCACTGGCTGTCTCCGGCCGGCTTAGAGACAGGAAGCTCGCTCCATAGCCAGTGCTCTGCTCTGACGTTGCCATAGAAAAACACAAAACGATGGGCAGCGGGGAGGAACATTGCAGATGAGTTGTCTTGAGTGGTCAGTCACACATTCGGCAGCCTTTGTGCAGCGGATACTAATTGGCTACCGCACAAGGCATGAAGGAATAAAGGGTTTAGCTAATAATAGATCATACTGCATTAATCTAACCACTAGGACTCCGCTTAAAGGGACTTTGTGGGAATGTGTTTGCTCTACGCTATAAACTTACAATTTGGCATCCAGTTGCTGTTTGAATAGCCTTCGTAGCAGTAAGCCCATTCCAATTGTCACGTATCAGGGTGTGAACTTGAACTAGCTTTAACAATAGTACTTGAAAATAAGTACTATTGTTAATGAATTTGCCCTTTGTTAGGCCGGCTTGTGTTGCGGGGACAGTGCATCTCCTCCATTCAACAGCACCAGAACTACAGCTTGAATGAAGTTGTTGAATATAGAGGATACAAACCTTTGGCAGTGGATAGAGTTCAGTTCTCTTTGGGAATGACATCTTTTTCTGAAAGAGCTGTGAACAAAAACACAGCGCTAGCTTTTATCATCTATCAAACCCCCTTCTGTTCCCTCTAGTGCTACAGTTGCCTTTCCAATTCAATGGGTTCTTGTCAGAGATGCAAATGTTTTCATGGGTGACGTTCCTTTTTGAATATTGTTTAGTGAAGCCCCCATTCATTCACTGTGGGGATGCGTATACGGGCCCAGAGCGTGGGCTTCAGCTGCAGTCTGAAAACACGGAGAATGGCGGGATTGCTGTCTGGCTAAAACAATTGGAACCCTTGTTAATGTCAGTAACACATGGATCCAGTAGAGTGTAACCAGCACATAAGTGGGTGTTAAGACCTATTCTCCACTCGTTCTGCTTTAAGATCACGTTTCAAGGATTGCGTCACTGGTGACCTAGGGACAGTGTGTGAAATGAGCCATATTATCTGCTTATCCAGCCAAATATCATCAGGATCAAAGTGAGCTAGGTTAAATCAAGAGCACCCTGCTTCCATCGCATAACAGAACGTCCATTGCCATCTCTAGAGATGATAGACAAAGCTAGGTCAAACGTGGCCATTGATGTGTGTTCAGTGATAGACAGAACAAAATATTATGTTGGAGGTGCTTAAATGTCGCTCTCAAGGCAAAAGAGACAAAAGCTCAAACTGAAGAAAAGCACAGAGCCTCCGATGGAAACATCTAATCTCTTGGTAACAGGAAGGTTAGAACAGAATGTAGCAGATCTGGACTTTCTGAGCTGTGCAGTCAGTTGATCCATGCTGAAGAAATGCTGTTCCACTTATTTTTTTTGTTTTATTCCTGCCAGCTTGAACTGCTCTTGCTCCAAGTATCCTGTGTCTTGCTGGTTATGTAACAGTCGGGGGTCTAAATGGGAACTAAAGCACAGCAGAGACATCGGACACTGCAGCTACTTGAAAAACTGAAAGTGACAGCAGCCTATTATAGGGGTCTTTAGGAAGAGCTTTAAAATGTACCAGAAGAATGGTACTAGCACAATTTGGATGGGAATAGTTGCCTTGGTAAACCTCATTGGGGATATTTCACTGGTTTTGAGTGCTGTGAACTTTGTACAAGAAAGCATTTCTTTACCATTACATAACACCCTCAAAGACTTCTGCATATAAAAGCTTTTCATTAGTTAAGAACCACTCAAGTGAGGATTCATTCTGAAGCCCTGGCAACGAAAGCCTCCATACTTAGTGCAGATCGCGATAAAGCCAGTTATGCGATAGTGGCTGATGAGAAAGGAATAGACATAGCTCTTTAGAGAAGCATTTAAAGTGGTGTTTTAAATTTTCAGCAGAATAAAATGTTATTAATTGAACAATTCCACACTTCCTGCCAAGGATTAGAGTACTGATGTGGCTTTAATGCTCTCTCTTCTTGTTCATAGGTTTATCTGACGGTGGAAGGAAACTTGAGCTGAAGGACCAGAATGGCTGCACACATTAAACACCTGGAATTATACTTTCTTTGACATAACCTCAGCCAAATAAGTTTGGAAGGAACTCCTCTGAACTCCTACAGAAGCTAGCTCCATTTCTCTCTGTGGATTATAAGTAACAGACTGCCATCATGCCGATCCTCAAGCAGCTGGTGAACAACTCTAACCAGTCCAAGAGACGGTCCCGCGCAGACCTGACCGCCGAGATGATCAGCGCCCCATTGGGCGACTTCCGCCACACCATGCATGTTGGCCGCGGAGGAGACGCCTTCGGGGATACTTCGTTTCTGAGCACCCGATCAGGGGAACCTCCCAGGGAGCCGGAACCTAAGCAGAACTCCCCGGTGCCCAAACCAGGTCTGCTGTCCCGCACCTTCAGAAGCAGCAAGCGCTCTCAGTCAGTAAACCGAGGCGACAAATACGAGTACACCATGACGGGGCCTTCTGGTGGTTCGTCGGCCTATGTCAAAAACGCCATATCCATGCCTTACCTAAACGAAGAGGATGTGAACCGAGGCCAACGACTGCCGAAGAGCGTTTCCTCCAGCCCCATGAAGAGACTCTCGGAGATCGAGAAGCCATCGAACGGAGCCGCAGCCATGGCGACACTGGATGCAGAGTTTGAAGAGCGCAATTTCGGCGAACTCACCGATTTGCCTCCATTCATGCCCAAGGGAGGCGGAATGAAGCACGCGGAGTCCATGATGTCCTTCAACATCGACTTGGGGCCCTCAATGCTCGGGGACATCTTGAGCGTGATGGAAAAGAAAGGCTGTGAGGAGGACGACCTCGGCTACGAGGAGGGCGAGGGCCGGGCGTCGCCTTCCCTCATCCCCCACATAGATGACGATGACGCAGAGGAAAAGGCCCCTTCCAGGCCCCCCCGCACCATGTACCAGCAGAAGCCCGTGGTGGAGCCCTACACCCCCGAGCTGCACCCCAGGAACAACCACCACAACCTGGACAGCTGCTCCGTGTCCAGCGCCGGCTCCGTCACCGAGGAGAAACCGCAGTTCCACGACAACGACACGGACAGTGCGAAGTACAGCTCGCCACGTGGGGAGGAAGACCAAGAATTCACCTTCATGGATGATGACGATGATGAGATTCGAGTGTAGATGTTTTACCTATCACTGCCACGAACAGTCTTGAAGGACACTAATGTAAAGGACCAAGCTGGAAAAGGGCAGTGGAGGGATTTAGAAGCAGCGCCACATCTGCTTTAAGCTTCTTGTAGATCAATCTAATCTCTGCCCACTTTGTTCTACATCATAAATAAAAACCAATTAAGCCTTATTCACCGTGCTGTTGCAAGGAGATATGAGCCAAGAGCGTGTCAGACTGACTCACAAAGTGAAACTCTCGCAAAGTTTGGGTTAATTTGCAACACCAGACTCTGAACTTATCGAGGAATTCTCCATTTTATAATAAGACTGGCTCTGAACCGCGTCCTTCTCAAAGGTGCATTGCTCGTTTTAATAAGTAAAGGGCGGCAATATGGTTAAAGAGCCCTAACCCCAGCTGTCAATCAAATGAATATCACATTTGGGGTATGTGATGTGAGGAGAAGGATACGTGAAGTCACAAACCAGATGTGGACGTGTGCTACAGGTTCTGAAGAAGAAAGAGGGAAAGGAAAAGAAATGGAACTCTGATAGCTTTGTAATGTGTGGGAGTGATCATTTTGCCATATCTTGGCATAGATGCTAAATAGATAAAGTAGGTTCCTACTTTTGTCCAAGTCTGACTTTAAAGGGTGATTATTTTGTACTTTATAATATGTAAATAGAGTATCTGGAAGTTGGTCTACAGTAGCTCTCTTGTATTTGAGTTTGGTAGTTTACCATTTTGCCCCTGTCTCTCTTTTATATCTCTCTTCTTTAAATCCATAGAGAGCTGTGGTATTTATTCAACATGTTTTATAAGGGATGGATCATACTAATTGTGCACTGCGAGGTCTTAAAAGTTTAGATTTCAAGGTTCTCTGATACGTTGAATTTCTTACAAAAACGTCTTAATTGAACTAAAGAGTTAGCCAGCTTCTTTACGTTGAATTCGGCTGCCTAGCACTTACATATTGGATTCAATTAGACATTAAAGTGTCTAAGTCACATCACTCCTACTTTCACTGTCGTGTTAAGGCTGTACTAGCTCACAAAATGTCATGTACTTTCTTTCAACAACAATACAGAAGTTGTGTTTATTTTTTGTATCTTCACAACTCATTCCACATCATCACTCAGATGTGTATGATAGGCAGGTCAAAGAGAGGCATGAAAGCGTTTGAAAGGGAGTTGTCGCTGTAGACAAATTGTTATATTCAAATTAATAGTTAGGGCTCTATCCAAAACACACATCCTCTCTCTAGACATGTGTTCAGGCGCGTCTCTAAGGGAAGAGAGAGTGTGTTATTAGAGCGCAGCTACTTAATAAAGCATCAGGAATGTCCCCGGGCAGCGTCAGATATTTCCTAAACTGGCCCCACAAGTGATACCTCCTGTACACAACCAAATCACACAGTAGGAACACATGATTAAATGAACCCATCATCTGGCCGTTTCTCTGTCTACTCATTAAATGTGCTGCATTGTTGGCTCCCAACCAGCTGGATCGGCTCCACAAACAGCAGGGTCAGGGACGGGCAGGTGGGTGGCTTCTCTTTCTTCTTTTCTACGATGCAGGCTCCTACAGGTCTAAATAAGGTATCCACGGTTAATATGACCCTTTTTTTATTTGGCGTTAAGAAACTAATTGCCAGGTTTTTGAACTTCCTGTTGACGCGGGGGTGTGCACGTAGAATCAGGATGCTGTGCCATTCTGGCTCGGGTTATTGTGATGTTTCCAAACAGAAACAGGTTTAAAGACGTTTGTCTTAAAAGCAATCTAGAGGAGATTGCCAAGTATGTTCTAACTTTATTATTGGGTAACGTTAGCAGGATGTATGATTGTGTTGTTGTTACTTATGTGTAGATATGCAATACAAGAGTCAGAGCTCACATTTTGATGCCAGTGAGTCAAAATGGAAGCCGTCTTTACTTCTATTGGTCCAGAATGAAATGGTTTGCGCTGCTGCAGTCCTTCACGTTCATCGCCAAGAAATGAACACTCTAAAAAGAGAACAGAAACACTCCTTATCTGCCGTTGTTTTAATCAAGTCATGTAAATATAGTTAGTGCCATGGATGATTACATTAAACACTGGTTGTTATCAGCAGTGTGACGATGTGGTACTACCGTGGGAATGTTAGCGGATTCAACACTAAATGGCACATTTGCGGCCAAATTGTCGCAAGTAGAAGAATAAAGGATCATGGGAAAGTATACTAAATGACGCTGAAGTACTTTCTTTGTATTTTCTTAATTTTGCTGGCATTCTCCTTGTTTCTCTTTAGGACACTCCTAAGTAGGCCAGAACAAACTATTTAAAATAATTTGCAAGTTCGTTCTGCCCCAGGTCTTAAAGTTTTCAGCGCCCGGACAGCTTTGCTTTGGAGTGGTGGGAAAAGATAAGGACGTGAAAAACAACCTGCTCAGAGTTCTGCTGTGAATGTTTATTCTTTTTTTTCTATTCAGTGGCTGTAGTGTTATGCCGAGTTTGTACTGATTTTCTTTTCCTACTCCTTATTCTGGTTTTACAGTATATTAATATATTTACCTTCCTCATTTTCCTTTCTTTGAAATAACAGCTATATTTTTCAATAAAAGAGAAGCTGGTAATCTTTAACCGTGACTCAGTCGTTTATTTACAAATTCATAAGTCTGTCACCGCAGGCGTCCTTTCATTTTCAAAACTCTTCAGCAAGTTTATACACACTCTTAAAACGCGCTTATTGAAATCTGACCTTTGTGTAGCCCTCCGATTTGTTTATAGTGAGCTACATAAACAGTTTTAGCCGCAACCCCAGTTTAACAAAGTCAGAGTGGATTGTTCTGCATAAATAACCCTGAAATTAAAGATAAAACCTTGTTCTAAAGATTCCACATTACGGGCAAGATGAGACTTGTTAGCGAATTAAAGCCCTCCAGCCTGACATTGATTTTAACAGGCTTTAGAACTTGCTGGGTAAGACATAAAGAGCATATCTTGTGATTCATAACATTCAGTCAAAATGTTTTTGTATGATCCAATTTGTTCGGAAGGGGAGTCAAAGTAGCTTAAATGATGCATCAGTGACAAATTGTGAGGGCGCTAAATTAACCGTACAGAATATATTACAGGTTCTTTCCTTTTTTCCAACCGTAAATCAAATTTCTCCATATGATGGCCATCTGGATATGTGATGACATTTTTTCATATCACATATCTATATGAAGACTGTCATGATCTCAGGTCTAAGAATAACATCTGGAATGAAGCCCAAGGGGAAAGTAGTAAATCTAGCCTGGTTTGTTTCTGAAGAGTTTCACACGTATGTAGTTATAGCTGTATAAAAGCAATGGTGAAATGTAAAGGTAATTTATTGTGATGCACACAAAATGCTACTTTATACATTGGTACTTTTCTTCGGGCCATTATTCTGAGAAATATATATTGTTCTGTAATTCAAGAACAGTTTCTTGGTGATACTTTGGTAATATCCTAAATGAACTTGATCTTGTAAAGAGTATGCTTAAAGTGTGGTATTAATACTTTTATAAGAAAAGGATTTGAAGCTACAAAATACATTTTTAACTCGCATTGCTTTACATTACATTACATTGCATTTAGCTGACGCTTTTATCCAAAGCGACTTGCAATAAGTACATTCGACCAGGAAGATACAACCTTGAAGAAAACAGAATCATATAAGTAGCCTACATCAGGTTTCATAGAGCCAAACATTTCAATTGCTACTCAACTGGCTTTAGATAAGCCAGTCCTTTTTAGTATATAAGTGCTTTGTTAGTAATTATATCCCTCTTACTGGTGGCAAATAACTGTAAAGCAGTTTTTATAAAACCCATAAAAAGATAAGTGTTGGTTAAATTGTAATATTTCCGGAAACTGTGTTCCATACTTTCCTATAGGTGTGTTGCTATCGCCCTCTAGTGTCACCTTTATAATACTGCAAGTTAAAGTCCTTTAATCCTGCATAATTTGATATGGCAACCACTGTCTTTATTTCAGTACTAGTTTTCCTGGTGTCCATATGCAATAAAATAGTTGAACACACTTTAATTTCTAACATCCCCTCTAGCTTTTGGTTTGTTTGTTGTTGTGAAAATAGATTTTCTGTTATGAATACACAGGGCTCATGTTGATCCTTCAGAAACATTTGCAGGGCAAACTATTCATGGTTTTTCAATCCTTAATCCTCCGTAATGTGAAAACAAAGAACATCTTCCACAGTGTTCAAATCGTTTTGTGAATTTTAATATGACTTGTATCATTTTCTTTACAGAGTATGAGAGAATTTTGAGAAAGCCTACACAAATCCTAAGACAAGTTTTCTTCTTCTACATGTTAATATGGAAAACTGTTGCTGTAATACACATGTGGGTATATCTTTTTGATCAGTTTCATGCTGCAGTTAGTTTTGTTTCTTCTCATTTAAACTCCAGAAATAGTGCTATCTATGCTAACCAAAACTAAAGCCACCAAATGTTGCCTAATCGCCCAATTACACTAATAACACCCCCTTAAAGCATGTCATTTACACAAAACAGCCAATAGCATACACAATGTATTTGCATGGGCAGCTAAGAGGATTTCTAAATGGTGCTTTCAGTAATACATCGTCTTTGTTTCAGTCTCTAGAGGAGGACAAACAGCAGGATCAGAGCGGTGACTCACGTGCAGCGAGCACGTGGAACAGTCTGTGTCATTGCCAGGGAGATGAAATATCCTCCTGAAAGATTAATGTGTGTGTGCTCGGCTGTAAATCTGCACCCTGCTTTTACTCCTGTCTGATGTTCCCCATCTACAACACAGCGTGATGTCTATTTATCTGTTGTGTGTCGGAATTAATCAACTACAGTGCCATAAAGGAGTCTTTATGCATAGTCCTTGAAATGCAGTTCTACAATTCTTATACTGATTTTTCCTTTTAGTTGAGGTCCTGTAAATCTGCCATATAAATATGTGGAGCATTAATATACAGTAATTTCTAAGATAAAGATGAACTACACACGTTGGGGTTTCAATAAAGGATTTGTTGTTGTGTAACCTGCATACAGAAATAAATGTAAGGCATGACCTGCTCACCATACAACGTTTTTTTGTATCTTTGTGAACTTGCCTTCAAGCTCTGTCCGAATGGCTGTAAATCTTTTATGAAGCTTGATAATGTTTTAAAAGATCTCTGTATTTATTGGTGATGTTGGAATTGTGTCATGTTAACTAAGGTACAGTACATCCTGTATTGAGTTACTGATCAATGTGTGTGTGCTTGTATGTTTTTTCTAATAGTTTCAACATAATACTCTATTATACTGTAGGCAATTTTCAAAATACTATACTGTATGGTTTTTGTTCTGATATTTTTCAATGTATATGTATATGTTGATTTATTTATGTTTTTGAAATACTGAATGTAGTCGTTTTTCTGATATTTTTTTACTCTAATATGTCGTTTTGTTAATATTTTGAACATTATATAACATTTGTATTTATTTATGCTATAAAGTTGCAAGAAAAAGTATGTGAACCCTTTGGAACTACCTGGATTTCTGCATAAATTGGTCATAAAATGTGTTCTGATCTTCATCTAAGTCACAACAATAGACAAACACAGTCTGCTTAAGCTAAAACCACACAAACAATATGTTTTTATGTTTTTATTGAACACACCATGTAAACATTCACAGTGCAGGGTGGAAAAAGTATGTGAACCCTTGGATTTAATAACTGGTTGACCCTCCTTTGGCAGCAATAACCTCAACCAAACGTTTCCTATAGTTGCATATCAGACCTGCACAATGGTCAGGAGGAATTTTGGACCATTCCTCTTATCAAAACTGTTTCAGTCAGCAATATCTTGGATGTCTGGTGTGAATCGACTCTCTTGAGGTCACTGCCACAGCATCTCATTGGGTTGAGTCAGGATTCTGACTGGGCCACTCCAGATAGGGGTATTCTTCTGTGAAGCCATTCTGTTGTTGATTTACTTTCTTGCTTGTGTTGTTGTCCGTTGCACTCACCCCATCTCTCTGTTAGCTCAATTGGGTGGAGTAGAGCCTTTAAGTTCTCTCAGCCAAAGTCTTGATATAACTTTGAGGATTCATTTTTCCGTCGATGATGCATCTGTCCAGGGCCCTGAGCAGCAAGCAGCCCCATACCATGATGCTCCCTCCCACATACTTCACAGTGGGATGAGTTTGAGTTGGGTGCTGATGTCTTTTTCTCCACACATAGCGTTGTGTGTTCCTTCCCAATAACTCAACTGTTTTGGTTATCCTGTCCACAGAATATTGCAGTAGCGCTGTGGACATCCAGCGGCTTATTTGAACTATCAAACGCGCAGATCAGAACAACATTTTATGACCAAATTTAGCAAAATCCAGGTAATTCAAAGGGTTCACATACTTTTTCTTCGCAACTTTATACCCAGTGTTTCCCATTTGTCTTGGCGCGGGCGCTGCGCTCCTGCCAACGGCCCCCGGCCGCGACCTACCTGACATTCAAGGTGTTTTGTTTTGGTTTTATTTAAAAACTATATTATTTATAGCACCAAATTGCATCTGCAGTGATCGCGTACTACGTCACTTTTCACTTGAACGATGATGGACTTTCGTATTAATAAACTAAATGCCTATGTTATTTATCCAATGGGGATGTGCTAGTCTTCAGGTCCGACTGCTTTGCGTATTCACGATTCTTCCCTCGGTCCGCTCTGTTTCTTAAGGGCGATTACGATGTCAAGGTTTTTACTATTTCGTNTCCACTCAAGTCCCTACTCAAGTGCCGTTGGAGGCCCCGTCGACTACTCTTCTGCCAGGGGTCCTGCCAACCCTATGTCCTGTACCATTGGAGGCCCCGCCGACTACTCTCCTGCCGGGGGTCCTGCCAGCCCTATGTCCTGTGCCACTGGAGGTCCCGCCGACTACTCTCCTGCCAGGGGTCCTGCCAGCCCTATGTCCTGTGCCACCGGAGGTCCCTCCGACTACTCTCCTGCCGGGGGTCCTGCCAGCCCTATGTAATCCTATGTTCTGTGCCGTTGGAGGCCCCGCCGACTACTCTTCTGCCGGGGGTCCTGCCAACCCTATGTCCTGTGCCACCGGAGGTCCCTCCGACTACTCTCCTGCCGGGGGTCCTGCCAGCCCTATTGTCCTGTGCCACTGGAGGCCCCACCGAGTACTCTTCTGCCGGGGGTCCTGCCGGCCCTGTGTCCTGTCCCGTTGGGGGTCCCGCCGACTACTCTCCTACCAGGGGCCCTGCCAATCCCATGTCTTGTTTCGTTGGAGGCCTCGACATCACCTGTATCGCCGAGGGTCCTGCCAACTCCTTGTCCTCTTCCGTGGAGAATCTTGCCAACACCCGTTCCACCGGCTCCGGTTCCTGTCCGGCCAACACCGGCTCCTGCCCGGTCACCTGAGAGCTGTGGTCTTCGCCCCTCCTCGAACTCTACCTTGCCCCCAGGCCGTCCGCCCGAGACCCCCTTTTTGGACTCTGCTTTGCCCCCGGGCCGTCCGCCCGAGTTCCCCTCCTTGTTTTCTGCCTTGCTCCCGGGCCGTCCGTCCGAGACCCGTTCTCCAGACCCCCTCCACCCACCCTGCTGGACTTTGTTTTTTGGGACGTCTGGAATCCGTCCCTTGAGGGGGGGGTTATGTCACGCTCCTGGGTTCATGTCACGGTTGTAGTTTTGTAGGTTTGGGTGTTT